TGCTTTTTAAATGAGAGAACACCAGAGTAGTGCTCAGATTTGTTTTTAAGGTGTCACTGTTCACTGGATGAAGAAACACAATAGTGCATGATATATTTCATCTACTTACATGAAGTAAGAGTGATTTTTGTGCTTATATTATACATCCCATTCTGTCTCTACTTATTTCAGTGCAAAACTATAGTAATGAACCCCCAAACCCAAATAAATACTTCATAGCTAATAAAAGGTAACTGGCTAAAAATCAAAACGTGATTTGTTCTGAGGAACCTTTTAAAATTTGAGAAAAAAGGCAAATTTGTGGGTTCAAGTGTGCAATGTAATAATAGTCCAGTACTTAAATTAAACCACAAACATAAAAATGTTAAATTTAGCATCATTATTAGCAGCATTTCAAATGTATCTATTAGCTAAATGTATAAAATATGGGTGACAGATGACCATTGAAGAAACAAAGGGAATTTTTGGCCTTATATGAGAACAACTGTTCTAAAGATTATTGGTGCAGGATTCGGTGAGTACGTAATTTTAATTATGTATTTAGGATGAAATCTTGCCAGCTCCAAACTTGCCATGGAAGGTCTCAAATGTAGTGAGGCCACTACTGTTCTCTTTCTGAGACTGCATCACTGTAGCCTAAAACAACATCTCCAAGCTACGTGAACCTTGCATATTCATCTCAACCTGACATTAACTGTAAAGACTAAGAAGAAAAGGAGTACTTGTGGCACCTTAGAGACTAACCAATTTATTTGAGCATAAGCTTTCGTGAGCTACAGCTCACTTCATCGGATGCATACTGTGGAAAGTGTAGAAGATCTTTTTATACACACAAAGCATGAAAAAATACCTCCCCGCACCCCACTCTCCTGCTGGTAATAGCTTATCTAAAGTGACCACTCTCCTTACAATGTGTATGATAATCAAGGTGGGCCATTTCCAGCACAAATCCAGGATTTAACAAGAACGTCTGGGGGGGAGGGGGAGAGGAAAAAACAAGGGGAAATAGGTTACCTTGCACAATGACTTAGCCACTCCCAGTCTCTATTCAAGCCTAAGTTAATTGTATCCAATTTGCAAATGAATTCCAATTCAGCAGTCTCTCGCTGGAGTCTGGATTTGAACTTTTTTTGTTGTAATATCGCAACTTTCATGTCTGTAATCGCATGACCAGAGAGATTGAAGTGTTCTCCGACTGGTTTATGAATGTTATAATTCTTGACGTCTGATTTGTGTCCATTTATTCTTTTACGTAGAGACTGTCCAGTTTGACCAATGTACATGGGAGAGGGGCATTGCTGGCATATGATGGCATATTCACATTGGTGGATGTGCAGGTGAACGAGTCTCTGATAGTGTGGCTGACGTTATTAGGCCCTGTGATGGTGTCCCCTGAATAGATATGTGGGCACAGTTGGCAACGGGCTTTGTTGCAAGGATAGGTTCCTGGGTTAGTGGTTTTGTTGTGTGGTATGTGGTTGCTGGTGAGTATTTGCTTCAGGTTGGGGGGCTGCCTGTAGGCAAGGATTGGCCTGTCTCCCAAGATTTGTGAGAGTGTTGGGTCATCCTTCAGGATAGGTTGTAGATCCTTAATAGTGTTATTACCAACAGGAGAGTGGGTTTGTCTGGGTGGGGGGGGGGACCTGGATTTGTGCTGGAAATGGCCCAACTTGATTATCATACACATTGTAAGGAGAGTGATCACTTTAGATAAGCTATTACCAGCAGGAGAGTGGGGTGGGGGGAGGTATTTTTTCATGCTTTGTGTGTATAAAAAGATCTTCTACACTTTCCACAGTATGCATCCGATGAAGTGAGTTGTAGCTCACGAAACCTTATGCTCAAATAAATTGGTTAGTCTCTAAGGTGCCACAAGTACTCCTTTTCTTTTTGCGAATACAGACTAACACAGCTGTTACTCTGAAGACTAAGAAAGAAATTGATGAATCAGCACTGTTAGTTATTTCACCTCAATCATATTTATAGAAATATCAAGCTAATGTGGTTATTTGGTAGGGTTGGATAGCAAGGAAGTTAATGATTGAAAAGCCCTATTAGACCATCTTATCCAACCCATTTACAGTGAGGAATGACTTCCTACAGCATATCATTAACTGATAAGGTAGCGCTATCAGGAAGAGTTTGAAGACACTTGATTGAGGTGTATAAGATTATAATGGAAACTGTTCAATCCCTCCTTTTTATACTGTCCTATCTTGAAAGGACAGCACCTCACTCAATGAAATTAATGGCTGGCAAATTTACAACAAAGGGAGAATGAAAAGAAGTATATATTCATAAAACATCTAGTCAGCTCATAGAATTCACTGCCACAGTCAAATGATATAGCTGAATTTAAATATGTTTTGTTAATTTTATACTAAATAATATTTACAGATAAGCATTCTAAAATAAGGGTAAACCAATCTCATGCTTCAGTCATACACTACATTATCGCCAGACAAAAGAAGGAGCTTTCCCACTTGTAATAGTCTATACCTCTCTAGCACCCCCTCGGGGAGAGAAGCAGCACCCACTCTGTCTGTGTGTCCAGGGCACAGTGCCTCTATCTGTTCCCTTACTAGTGGTGGGTGGATGTTAAAGTAGTCCACTCAAAAGGTCAGAATGCTTCCACAGTCCACAAAAGTTAAGTCCTGATTCTTTGGGAAGCTAAAGAGACAAAATAAAACTGAAAGGAAGTGGCTCCTCTCCTTTCTGAGAAGGCTCTGAATGGGGGCGGGGCAAGGCTCTCAGGCTGTTTCCTTGATCAGTAACCCCTGCTTCCAGGGGCTGGGGAGCTATAAGTTGCAGTCCTGTTCCTTCAGAGTACCCGCCTGGACAGAGCCAGGGTCCTCCCTTTTAAGGACTTGCCCATCTTCAAGCTTGACAAGTCTCTCAGGGGCACCAGTCTGAGGTGGACTTGGCCCAGAAGAGCTTTTTAATACCTTCCTGGCTGTGGTGGGGATCTGCCCCCACCACACCACCCCCAAAATAAATTAATATAACTGGACAGGTACATTTATTTGTTTTACTTTTCTTTGAAGTATTGCTATTGGCTATGACCACAAGTAGGACAACAGATTTGTATGGCAAATCTTACAAATTTTCCATTCAGCTCTACAAGTGTCTCAAAAAAGGTTTTCAACAGAAACTGTGAAATGCTTTGACATATTTTGGGGTAAATTTAGTGCTATTAAAAAAACAAACAAACAACCCAGCTCTAGGTACTATGGCTCAGATCTACAAAGGGGTTTAGGTGCCACTCTGAGCCACACACATGCTGCTCAGCTGCTGCCTAACCACACAGATGCCTAAACTCACTCCACACCTACAAACCCTTAAAATTCTCACTGTTAAATTGCTCTAGGCACATGTGCTGCTGCCTCAGACAGACATCCACTGCCTAGTTCATGCCTCAGACCCACGGCATCCCCAAACCAGGTGAAGATAGGAATTCCCCCCTCGTCCCCATATTGCTTGTAGGGCCTGATTTGGAAGAGATGCACTGAGCACTTGTGGGAGACAATGTTTCAATTCCCTTCTCATGAGAAGGGATTTGAACAGAGGTTCCCTACCCCTCAGGTGAGAAGCCTATAGGGCATTCTGATAGGTCATACTATAGGACATTCTGATGTAACATTCACTATCTTGCTATTCTATTTTGTGTTCAATAAATAAATATTAAATATTAATTGGGCCAGAGAGAAAGCATGAGAATGGGTGCTGCTGCTTCTCCTCCTCCTCCTCCTCCTGCCAGCCATTTTGTGTGGAGTTAGGCAGGCACCTGAGGGGTTCTCTCAAGAAATGGCTGAGGTATCTAAGCCACCTGACTCCAGGAAAGAGGTTTCTGGCTGTGGATTGCAAGCAGACTAAGGTGCCAAACTCCATGAGAGGGGTGGGGCTTAGGGCACACCTCTCTTGTCAGCATCTCCCACTGGCTACCCTAGGCCAGGAGCTGCCTAGCATGCTGTATTTGTGGATCATATTCTCAGGCACTTCCTACTCCCCCGTGCATCATATAGGGAGTGTAGGTGCCTAACTCAGTGGATTCCAGTGATCTCTACATGGTGCCTAAAAATTTACCACAACACCTAAGTCATTTTGTGGATCCAGGCCTGTTCCCAAATAAAGGCACTGTCACTAAAAAGCTTTGAAAAATATAAAGATTAACATACAGTGGCATACTGAATTTGCCTTTCTTGCTCTATTTCCTCTTAGAAATAGAGGAAATACCACAGTATATTTAATTACTGTAACTCAATACATGTTAACATTAAAAAGAATATTAGGGGCAACCACTGTGTAACTGCAACAAAAGTGTTTATCGGGTTTTAACTTTTTATTTCATTTCAGCTACTCAGATGAACAAATATCATCCAGCAAAGACTATAAGCTACCCTGCTTGCTCATTATGCTTAAATGAAATTTAGGTGTGTAATGTTTTATAATATATCCAGAATGGAAAAGAAATGCCTGATATCAAAGATAAGCTAAACTGATTCACTCACTACTGTTAAAGTGTAAAATACCAAATTTTGGAGGGGAATCAAACAAATGCAGCATTACGTCTTGCACTTAATTATATAAAATACACAGTGACTGAAGCCACAGATAATTCTCTCTAAAAACATTGCACAGAATTATTAAAGGATGAAATGCTAGTCCCTTGCAAGAACTTTATGTAAGCTGATTTTGTACAAGAAGACCAAGGCAGGGGTTTGGAGAATGGAAAATATTACAAGGCTTATGGACTTTAGTGCTACCTGCAGCCCCCTGGCCCCTTGAGCATGCACATACACACATTTAATGTGTTTGTAGCCTGTCAATATACACAGTTCACATGACTCAGGAAGTCAGTACAGCATCAATTTACATTCAGAAATTATTTTGGCATCCTTAAGGGTTAGAAGATTAAATTCTTAGAAGATTAATAAAGGATTGGTAATAATAATAATCGGTAATAATTAGTAATAAATGTCTCTTCCTGCTCACTGTGACAGACCTGTCCCGCTGGTGAGATTTCAGATGCCCCATGACTACTCAGTTGAAAAATGTACCACAACATTTTGGATTCTTTCTATCTTCTGCTATATCTTACTGGGTATTTGTAAAGTATATGTAAGTATTAATTTTCTTACATTGTGATGTAAATATCTATGTAAATTTAATGAAAGGTTTTGATTTTGTATACCGATTGTTTTCTTCACCTTTAAATTTAATGAGTACTCCTGCCTGCCTTTTGGAACAGGTGTTCAGTTCAGGATGGATGCTATTAGAAAGTCAGTCACAAACTCTGTGCTCTCTCTGTCTTATGGAGATTACAGAAAAAAAGAAACAAGCTAGAAGTATGTAATCTAAAATAGAAGTCATTCAGGCTGAAGGTACATATTTTGCAGTTTATGAAAACATAATACACGTCAAGGCTGATTCCCCACTCTAGCACTTTGAGTGCAGAAGGTGGGGGCCCACAAGGATTCTAAAAATTAATACTGGCCACTCCAGGCTTGTATAAAACTCCTAAGATTACAGCTTTTCCCTGACCTTGGATGGGTAGATGCTGCCACCGCCCAAGTGCAAAAACCCCTTTGAGATCCCAGGAAGGCACACTTGGGAATTCCTTCCTGTGGGGTACCCTCAAGCCCTTTCACCCACCCTCCAGGGAAGAGCTGAGAAAGAAAACAAAGGAAATCAGCTGTTGCCACCAGCTAATGAAACGACATGTGCACAAACCTCTTAGGACACAAAAATCCAATCCTGTTTTTAAAAAAGGTAAATTTTATTTAAAAAAAAATAAAGAAAATACATCTGGAACTTAGACCAATTACAAGGTTTAAGCACCAAAATAGCTCTCTTGAGGTCCAGCTTAAAGGTTACAAGCAAAACAAAAGCATCTCGGGTTAGCACAGAGGAGTCCACAAGCCATAAAGAAATAAAAAGAGATAAACCTAATTGCGTCTACCTAGACATTTCCTGATCTACTTACATATCTGGGGTTTTAAATGAAATTTAGGTGTATAATGTATGATGATTGATGATGATTTTTCATACCTGGCCCAAGCTCTTACAGTACAGTTCCAGCCCTGTCTCTGCACTCTGGGAGAACAACACAGACAAAGGGGAAGTTTTTTTTCCAATTTTAAAAAGTTCTAGCCTTCCCATGGGCTCTTTTGGTCAGGTGCCCACTCCCTTCCTTTTACCTATGTACTTTTTAACCCTTTACAGGGAAAGCAAGTAGAGAACAACTACTAACATGGATATTATAGCTAAGTGGCTGGCTGGGTGCCCATAAAAGGGAGCTACCCTCACCCCCTTCATTTATCACAACATATAACCTGAAAAAACTATATAGGTAAAGATGGTGACTACAAAGGTTTTGAAACTAAATTGTAGGTAAAATCTACAGAAGGGAAAACTGAAACTGGAATGCATGCTTTGAAAGAATTTAGGGAAATTACTTTTCTTTTTCAAAGAGCCAACTCTTCTTTGATAATGTAGTTTATTACTACAAAATGTGCTGACCTACTCCTTTCTGTTTAAGAGAAATTCAGAACCAGTCCATGTTATAGTTTTATCATATATTTATATTTTCTTCTGAACTCATATTTTAGTATAGTTCAGTGTGATTTGACATTGCAAGCTCAAAAGACAGTTATGTTCATGGCCATTCCTGACCAGATCCTACAGAGAACTAGCAGGTATAATTATACTCAACATGTCTGTTAGGTGTTGTGGCATGCCTTTGTGTAGACTAAAGTCACATTTTATATAATATTCTACTATCTTGTTGCTCAGCAGTGAGTCCTGTGGAGAAACGGAAAGGAACATTACTTCCTGTAGTTCACCATCTGTAGATGAAATAATTATTGTTTTAATTGCTAAGTAACTCAATCTCTGCCCTGTTTGATTTCATCCAACACAAAGAGTTTGCTTTCTCCTCTCATCACTATTTCACTTTAATTCTTATTTTGCTCATGCACTGATGTAGAAGTAGGTGAAAGTTTCTTCTAACAACTAACACAATAGTAGGTACTACAGGTGGCACAATGGCTGATTCATAGTTGACATGTTTTGTGTAGCTCCAAGTGTTACATTAGGTAATTGGCTAATTTGCATATAGCCTTAAACATCACTGTTGAAACGTGTGTATTTAATGTTGGTGGAGGTACAGTATTGAGTTGACACCAGATTTCCCTTGCAGAAACTGAGTACAATATGACTTAGGTCATAAGTGAGGCACTGATACTGCCTACATAAACATATCCTCATGAGAGCAAGTTGATAACTATGTTTTGTACAGTCAGCTATCTATTTGGTCTCACACATGCATCCTTTGTTGGTCCAGCCATATTTTTAAGAAATAGGCCATCGCAAAGAATTATTGAGAATTAAAGGACAAAATATCATAGGGTAAAGACTAAGATATGCAAAAAAAATGCAAGTATATGTGCATATGAAAACCTGTTTGTAGTGGATGCACAGAGAAATTTGTGCATGTAGCTATCCATTTGCACACCTAATGAGTTAACTTGTGCCCACAATGTAGTTGTGTGAAATCCTACTGGTGGAGTTTATCAAAGGCACAAATGGGAATTGGGGCTCAGCTTCCATTGTCTTACAAAGGGAGTTGGAAGCCTATTTTCCCTTTGTGTCTTTGAAACTCTCCCCTTACATTTGACTTGCACATATGCTCCCCATAAAAGCTACAATTTGTGAAAGTTTTAAATCCAATAAGCTCAGCACTGTATTTAGAGAAGTAGAAGGGTCAATCAGTCTTTTGATAATGGGCAGTAATTAGTGACTGAAAACTGAGTTTTGTTTTGAATAATATTTTCAACTGTGATGGCTGAAAAATAGGGCATGTTTGAAACCGCAAACTTACTTTACATATTAAATATGACCTTTTATAAAGTAAAAGCCATTACACTTGACCTTCCAAGGCCTTTTAAACTCCTGATAGACAGCTATGCTTTAAATGTTTCACAAAATGCTAAAATACCCTAAAAATCTTTTCAAGTCATTTGCTGTATGTTTGAAGTCCATTATTTACAATTTGCAAGCTCCTGTAGTTCAGAGTGAATTAAATAATCAAAATAAGATGAAAATCATTAATTGAACATATTGCCATTAAGTGAATATGAATATATTCAGATATTCATGTTTCCTAATTATTTTAAGAACTTTTGAAAATACCAACATCTCATTGGTTTAAGACCCATTTCCACTGAAATCTGAAAAAGGTATCAATTTGCATCCTATTAAATTATGTTTCTACAGTACCATTTATCTGTATATAGCAACACTGAAATGCAGTATAACAATGCTCTATCTAGAGCCAGTTATAAACTGAAGAGAAATTGATGGCATAAAGATGGTATTTAAAGGGAAGAAATGACTCAATGGTTGAGAGAGAGAGGGAGGGAGGGAGGAGTGGGAATTCTAGTAGAATAGAGAACAGGAAGTCAAGGTTGAAAGGAGTGGAGAGAGCAGAAATGAGGACAGAAGTAAAGAAAAAGGGCATCCTTGAAGTGGTTTATGTTAGGGGGCTTATTCCTTCACCCACTTACTTCCCTGGTCCTTCTCGCATGAACAGAGAGCAACAATACCCGAAGTCCAAAGGTGCAAACAATTCGATGTTTATTGGGGTGAACTTCCAGCAAGCATGATTCCAGTTTCCTTCCTTAGTATCCTCCTTCCCAGCTCTGACACCACAGAGCCTTACACCTGTGTCCCTGTTCCCATTCCTGCCCTTAGCCAAACATGATTCCAATTTCCCCAGCCCCATTCCCTGTTCCCATTTCCCCTTTTAGCAAAACATGATTCCAATTTTCTTACCCCCATTCCCCTACTTCCTGATTGACTGCAGACTATATAGTAAAACTTGAGTTCTGCTTTGCTATACCTTAACCAATCATGTTCCTGAAATTTAACTAACCAATCCTAACATATTGTAACATGATTATGTACCCAATTATATCCCACCACCTTAATTAGTTTACACCCAGCAAAATTAATTATACAGCAGACAGAAACAATCACAGAACCAGACAGAGATTATACAGACAAACAACAGCAAAGTGGGAACTATAATGACAAAACAATACAGAAGTGAGGATTCCACATCCCAGCTATTGATAAGTGAGTTCTTGCCAGACAGGATGCTATCAAACTAAGTGTCCTTTTACATTTTCTAGGCACTTCCCTTTCTCTGGAGGCAATAGGCACTATCAGGGCAGGACTGTATTCCTAACAGCCCAATAGCACCTTATTTCAATGTGACTAGTTTGGAATGTGACGATGTGACCATTCACTTCCCAGTTTATGGCTGCCTCTGTTGCTTAGCCAAAGGCCTTAGCCTAAGAACAGGGCCTCAGACTGTCACAGTAAGAGAAGGCCCTTACACTGGCAGACAGTGGTTTTGATTCTTTCTTTTATACCTCTATAACTAGCCAAGTGATAAGAATACACCTAAATTCTTAGAGTATAGGCCTTTGCAGACAGGCCTGAATATCTATATCCTAACAGTTTAGATGAAATAAGTTTAAGCTGATATAGTTTTGTTTTTGGGAAAAGAAAGTAACCCAGCTGCAGAATTCTGGTGATTCCCTTGAAGTTTAGGCAGCAGGAAATTAAGAGACCATAAAAGAGGAAATTGCAATCATCAGGAAAGGAAATGATTAAGGAATACATGAGGATTTTAAGAATTTTAATATGCCAATGAAGGAGAGAAGAGACAAACCCACACAATTCAAACTACCTATTGAAGGTTTCAGAGTAACAGCCATGTTAGTCTGTATTCGCAAAAAGAAAAGGAGTACTTGTGGCACCTTAGAGACTAACCAATTTATTTGAGCATAAGCTTTCATGAGCTACAGCTCACTTCATCGGATGCATACTGTGGAAAATACAGAAGATGTTTTTATACACACAGACCATGAAAAAAATGGGTCAGCCGTGCAGAACACAATGCCATCCACAGCCTCAGAAACAACTCTAATATCATAATCAAAAAGGCTGACAAAGGAGGTACTGTTGTCGTCATGAATAGATCGGAATATGAACAAGAGGCTGCTTGGCAGCTCTCCAACACCACTTTCTACAAGCCATTACCCTCTGATCCCACTGAGAGTTACCAAAAGAAACTATAGCATTTGCTCAAAAAACTCCCTGAAAAAAGCACAAGATCAAATCTGCACAGACATACCCCTGGAACCCCGACCTGGGATATTCTATCTACTGCCCAAGATCCATAAACCTGGAAATCCTGGGTGCCGCATCATCTCAGGCATTGGCACCCTGACAGCAGGATTGTCTGGCTATATAGACTCCCTCCTCAGGCCCTACGCTACCAGCACTCCCAGCTACCTTCGAGACACCACTGACTTCCTGACGAAACTACAATCCATCGGTGATCTTCCTGATAACACCATCCTGACCACTATGGATGTAGAAGCCCTCTACACCAACATTCCACACAAAGATGGACTACAAGCCGTCAAGAACACTATCCCCGATAATGTCATGGCTGACCTGGTGGCTGAACTTTGTGACTTTGTCCTTACCCATAACTATTTTACATTTGGGGACAATGTATACCTTCAAATCAGCGGCACTGCTATGGGTACCCGCATGGGCCCACGGTATGCCAACATTTTTATGGCTGACTTAGAACAACGCTTCCTGAGCTCTCGTCCCCTAACGCCCCTACTCTACTTGCGCTATATTGATGACATCTTCATCATCTGGACCCATGGAAAAGAAGCCCTTGAGGAATTCCACCACGATTTCAACAATTCCCATCCCACCATCAACCTCAGCCTGGTCCAGTCCACACAAGAGATCCACTTCCTGGACACTACAGTGCTAATAAACGATGGTCACATAAACACCACCCTATACCAGAAACATACTGACCGCTATTCTTACCTACATGCCTCCAGCTTTCACTGTGACCACACCACACGATCCATTGTCTATAGCCAAGCTCTGCGATACAATCACATTTGCTCCAACCCCTCAGACAGAGACAAACACTTACAAGATCTCCATCAAGCATTCTTACAACTACAGTACCCACCTGCGGAAGTGAAGAAACAGATTGATAGAGCCAGAAAAGTTCCCAGAAGTCACCTACTACAGGACAGGCCTAACAAAGAAAATAACAGAACGCCACTAGCCATCACCTTCAGCCCCCAACTAAAACCCCTCCAATGCATTATCAAGGATCTACAACCTATCCTGAAGGATGACCCAACACTCTCTCAAATCTTGGGAGACAGGCCAGTCCTTGCCTACAGACAGCCCCCCAACCTGAAGCAAATACTCACCAGCAACCACATAGCACACAACAGAACCACTAACCCAGGAACCTATCCTTGCAACAAAGCCCGTTGCCAACTGTGCCCACATATCTATTCAGGGGACACCATCACAGGGCCTAATAACATCAGCCACACTATCAGAGGCTCGTTCACCTGCACATCCACCAATGTGATATATGCCATCATCTGCCAGCAATGCCCCTCTGCCATGTACATTGGTCAAACTGGGCAGTCTCTATGTAAAAGAATAAATGGACACAAATCAGATGTCAAGAAATATAACATTCATAAACCAGTCGGAGAACACTTCAATCTCTCTGGTCACTCGATTTCTGATCTCAAAGTGACTATCCTTCAACAAAAAAACTTCAAAAACAGACTCCAACGAGAGACTGCTGAATTGGAATTAATTTGCAAATTGGATACAATTAACTTAGGCTTGAATAGAGACTGGGAATGGTTGATTCATTATAAAAAGTAACCTATTTCCCCTTGTTTATTCCTCCCCCCCCCCCCCCCCCACTGTTCCTCAGACGTTCTTGTTAAACCCTGGATTTGTGCTGGAAATGGCCCACCTTGATTATCATAGACATTGTAAGGAGAGTGATCACTTTAGATAAGCTAGTACCAGCAGGAGAGTGGGGTGGGGGGAGAGAGAACCTTTTGTAGTGATAAACACCCATTTTTTTCATGGTCTGTGTGTATAAAAATATCTTCTGTGTTTTCCACAGTTTGCATCCGATGAAGTGAGCTGTAGCTCACGAAAGCTTATGCTCAAATAAATTGGTTAGTCTCTAAGGTGCCACAAGTACTCCTTTTCTTTTTACCTATTGAAGCTGTCACAACCAACCTCACAAAAGCCTCTGCTCAAGGCAGATTCTTAGCCAGTGTAAATTGTCACAGCACCATTGAAATCAGTGGAACTATGTGGATCTGTACTCTAGAGTCTCTGCATTGTCTACGAGGACACATTGCTGCCAGAGGCAGTTGTGTAAATGGATCTCAGCTAATTTAGTGGTAGCATTAGAGAGACTATAGTGAAATTATACTCCTGGGGTAAATGAATAGTTTATTTTAAAAAGGTAAGACTATCCTTTTAAAGGATCTACGTATGTGTGAATTTTGATTAAATGTTTTGAGAAAGTTACAAGATGAATCTTTTAGAGAAAAAAATCATTTGTAATGTTAAAAAAAAAAAGTGATTCAGTCTGAAGGAAGAGCCCCAGGAACACAGTTCCAGATTCTGATACACTTGCAAATGATAGCAATCCCGCACTTGAAATCAGAGGGACTACTTGTTGAATAAGGTACTTCTTGGTGCAAGTAAAGATGATGAGGTGTTCAAGTCCAGGGATAAAATCCTGACTCTAAGCAAATCAACTGAAAAACTTCCATTGACTTCAGTGGGACCAGGATTTCAAAGATACATGTTTAACTTCAGGTTTTATTGCAAGTTTGTATGAGGTTAAACATTAGAACGTGTATTAGTGGATGATTATAGTTTCAATCTTTATTTTCCCTCCCATTTGGACCCACCTGGTTTAGATAGCCATTAGTGATGAACCTGAGCAAGAGGGTGCAAGAGAGTGCACTAAAATGGGTTGAATCCTTCCTGATGGGATGTACCCACCAAATAGTGATGGGAAACTGTACCTCCACCACTAGATCCCTCAGTTGTGGCGTCCCACAAAGATAAATTCTCTCTCCAGTCATTTCAAAAATATCTGCATGCAATCATTAGGTGAAATAGTCAGACAATCGACTCAAGTGACAGCTATATGCAGGTAACACACAGCTCTACTCATCCTTTACCATATGTGACCACATCACTACTACCAAGATGGTCCAGTGCTTATACAAGACCAACACATGGATGAAGAACAATTGGCTGAAGCTGAACCTGAGCAAAACGATGGTGATACTGATACACAGAGGAAAGAATTTGAAGAATTTGCAGCCATAGTGTCATTGCCTTTGGTTGAAGGCTCATACCCACAACTGGTCAATTCAGTCTGTAGCTTAGGAGTACTCCCAGATGTCTCACATAGCAGCACAGAACCATAGAAATGTAGGACTGGAAGGGACTTCAATAGGTTATCTAGATGTAGTCCAATCCCCAGTACAGAGGCAGGATTAAGTATTAGCTAGACTACCCCAATGGGTGTTTGTCTAACCTGTTCTTAAAACCCTCCAGTAATGGAGATTCCATAGCCTCTCTACGTAATTTGTTCTAGTGCTTAACTACCCGGACAGTTAGGACGTTTTGCCTAATGTCTAACCTAAATCTCCCTTGCTGAGATTTAAGCCCATTACTACTTGTCCTCTTCTCAGTGGATAAACAGAACAATTTGTCACCCTCCTCTTTATAACATTTTTTATGAAGTTGAAAACTTCTGTCCCACCTCAACCTTCTCTTCTCCAGACTAAACAAACCCAGTTTTTTCAATGTCTCCTCATAGGCCATGTTTTCTAGACCTTTTATCACTTTTGCTCCTCTCTCCTGGATGTTCTCCAGTTTGTTTACATCTTTCCTGAAGTGCCCAGAACTGGACACAGTACTCCAGCTGCGGCCTGATCAGTGCTGAGTAGAGTGGAAGAGTTACTTCTTATGTCTTGCTTAAAACACTCCTGCTAATACATCCCAGAATCACGTTTTGTTGTTTTTGGCAACAATATTACATCGTTGACTCACATTTAGTTTGTGAACCATTATAATCCCCAGATTATTTTTCGCAGTATTCCTTACTAGGTAGTCATTTCCCATTTTGTATGTGTATGTACAGTACTTTGCATTTGTCGTTATTGAATTTCATCCTATTTATTTCAGTTGATTTCTCCAGATCATTTTGAATTCTAATTCTGTCTTCCAAAGCATTTGCAGCCACTCCCAGCTTGGTATCATCCACAAACTTTATAAGTGTATTCTCTGTGCCATTATCCATTAACAACATTTTCTATCATCTTGGGTTAACTGGGAGACTCTGTTCCATTCTGGTGGATGGTGACCTAGCCACAGTTATTCATGCTTTCATCACCTTTCAGGGGTACTACAGAAATGCAACATACCTGGGCATGAAGCCTCCAGAACTTCAGAAGTTCCTGCTAGTACAGAATACGGCAGTGCATCTCTCTAGTGACACTAGCTACTGGAAACACATCAAAATCTACCCTTCCCTCCCTACACTGGCTTCAAATCACATTCAAAGTCTTGGTCCTTGTCCTCAAGGTGTTCAATGGACTGGGTTCCAAGAGAACAACTGAAGCTCTGGGGTGAAGACTCTGGTCAACAACTTTGCTCCTATGGCACAACAAAGATCTCTACAATAAGAGTATAAAGCTCATCTGTGAGAGAGACAGAACTTTCTCAGAGGCCAGCTCAAGACCGAGGAATGAACTCCCAAATGAACTAAAGACCATTACAAACCTCACCACCTTCTGCTCCAAGTACAAGTTCTTTGACCTAGTCTTCTCTAACTTACAGACATGTTGCTATAAGTTTAAAAAACATTTCACTGCACACACTTCTTCCCCTAGGGAAAAGAGAACAAACACATGACAGCTGTTACTCACATTGCTTAAAGAAAAGGAGTACTTGTGGCACCTTAGAGACTAACAAATTTATTTGAGCATAAGCTTTCGTGAGCTACAGCTCGCTTCATTAGCTCACAAAAGCTTATGCTCAAATAAATTTGTTAGTCTCTAAGGTGCCACAAGTACTCCTTTTCTTTTTGTGAATACAGACTAACATGGCTGCTACTCTGAAACCTCACATTGCTTAGTGCACTATGGGAGGCATTTGGAGACTATAGAATAAGAAACTATATAGAATAACCTAGACTAGAAAGGATGAAGTTCAACAGTTCTATAGATTCTGTATGAATAAGCATCCAATCCTGCTGTGAAGTTCTTTGTTCTGGAAACTGGTTGTAAAGTTTGTAACAGGCTTTTTAAAAAACTATTTCCAGTATTTTGTTGGTACTGACTTTGGAAGCTCAGACATCAGCAGTGGCAAGAAGGGTTTTTCCATGTTCAAAATATGTGGATATTACAGACTGATAGAGATAAAGTGGGTCAGACTTCAGTGGAGGTTTGTTTATCTTTGGTATGTGTCTATATCCATTTCCAGTCAAAACCAGAAAGCTTAGGGATACATGATTTTTGCTTTACATTTTAGTTTTTCTGACCCCCCCCCCATTTTAATTCTATGCTCAACACTGTAGTACAGCACGTTAGTAATTTGATGGTTCACTCAATTTATCCAAACCACTTTTTATAACCTTAATGCTAATTCAGTAGCCACAAGAGGCACAGCAAAACTGTAACATGGCTGGGACTAGCTGGCTGCCCTGTTGGTAGTCTCAGAGACACCAAAAGCTGATGGCATGGGGACTAAGTTATCATCTTTTATGTGGCAATTCCTCCAGATTAGGAAGAAAAACCCTACTGGGAAGTTATGGGGAGACTGGAAATGCCATTTTACTGTGCATATTGTATCTGTTTGGTATGTTAGTAAAGAACTTCATTCTTACTCTGACAAAAAACAAATAAGAGAAAAAAACGGGTAACAGCTGTGATTCATGTCAACCAATTGAGTTAAATACATAAATTTGTGACCACCATTAGGAAGTCACCCACCCACTGTGACACCTTGGCACTCCTGTATTCACCACTGTCATATAATTATGATATGTTGTGTATAAAGTATGCCTTGTGAGATAGCGATTTTGTTTAATTTCCTAGGTAACCTGCTTTGATCTGTTTGCTATCACTTAAAATCTATCTTTCTGTAGTTAATAAACCTGTTTTATGTTTTATCTTAACCACTGTGTCTTTGAGTGAAGTGTTTGGAAATCTTGGCTCTGGTAACATAGGCTGTTCCGTATCTTCCCCACGTCGAGGGGGAAGTTGACTAATTTAATGAGCTTGCACCGTACAGACTTCTGTGCTGTGCAAGATGGTATAATTCTGGTCTTATACTCCAGTAGGGGTGCAAGGCTGGGGAGCTTGGAAATTGGGTACTGCCTCTATTGTTGACTTAGGTAAAGCACTCAGGTGACTCAGTTGAATGTGGGGTGCCACCTGAAGTCATGTTGGGTGATAACAGTCCCCAGAGGGCCTGGCTGGGAGTCACCAGCAGAGCAGGAGAGGCCAATCCAGCTGAATGGTTTGGGGGCACAGCGGTCCATCAGCTTCCAGGCTTCACCCTGGAGGTGACAACCCATCACACCCACATCACTAGACTAGTCTACAATGTTAATAAAAATCTTCAGCATTTACATGTACTTTGCATAGGTATGACATGTACATTGTCAGCATAGGAGTCTACATCAAATTGCTGCCAGTGCTATGATTCACCAGCATCTCAGATGCCACTGTATGGTAATAGTCAATAAAATCTTGACAGAGCAGTGATATTTTTAAAAAGATAGAACCACTTGCTGATAATGTCTACAACATATGTTAAGTGCCTAGAGGCCCGCTAAGGGATCAGTATACAAATGTGCCAGGTACTGGACACACAATTAAGAAAAAGCCAGGCACAAATAACTTAAAACGGGGGTTCCCAATCTTGGTTTGCGGCTTGTTAAGGGTAAGCAGGCAGGGCCGCTCACAGCTCCCATTGGCCGGGAACGGTGAACAGCCAAACCTGTGTATGCTCCGGTAAACAAACCGTCTCACGGCCCACCAGGGGCCTACCCTGAACAAGCCGCGAACCAAGTTTGGGAACCCCTGCCTTAAAACTAAGCAAAAGTGTCTTGTACATGCAATATATTTGTAGGAAATATATGTTGTACCATTTTGAGTGCAGCAAGATTTTATAAAAGACAATGAATATTTTTCATAGGTAATAAATCACAACATCTGATATTTTGGCATTTACTTGTCAATGAATACTACACTGGGGAAAAGGTGGATGCAATCATGAAATCTCTGGTGAATCCTTTACAGCTGCTAAATTAAACCCCAGGACAAGCTTCACAGGAAGCTAGTAGAGCCTAATACAAAGTTCACTTAAAAAAAAATCAGTGGAATGACTCCCACAGACTTCACTGGACTTTTGATCCAGCCCGTAGAGAGCAGGAGCTCAGTGATAATATTGCAATGACACGGTAAGCCAGACTAGCGTACTCAGTGAGAGCTTGCGCTCTCCAGGCACCTGTAACCCTTCTGCCAAGTGTTGTCAGCAGCAAAAAGGGTCACATTCAATTTTCTAGGGGTCTCTTCTAAAGACAAATAATGGTGTGAGCCCCTCCATCCAGAAACCTGGGAAATTATTTAGGTCACCCTGCACACCCCATCTCAATGGGCAATACATCCCCACTCACAAGCACTGAGTCCAGACGTTTAAAACAAAGAAAACCTTATTGGGGGTTGGAAGGGGCAACAGAATAATTTTGATTAAAAGCAAAAATTAATGAATTAACAATGTTAGGTAAGACAACCCTCCCCCACCGTGGCCTTAACAATAGCCCCAACCTCAGTCCTTGTCTTCAGTCGTAAGTGGCTAGTGCATTCACTTAGTGCACCTGGGTTAGTGGAATATAAGGATTCTGGCAGGTCAATGCTGTCTGTGCTGCTCAGTCACCTGACCCAACTTAAGTGATTCCATCTTTAATTGCTGGGTAGAGAGGCCCATATAGAGTCCCTTAGGTAGGCTGCTGCTCTTTCTGCAGCTTGAACCCAAGCCACCTCATTTCTACAGCATTTCTGGCCGAGTCTCACACACTCTGTATGTGAAATAAAAAGAAAGCAAACGCCTTCCAGGGTATATGCCCAACAGTGGGCCTATCACAGTGCCCTCTATAAGGTCTTTCAATCTGTAGCCTTACCTCTGGGCTCACTCGTCAATCAGTCCAGTGGGGCCTATCACAGTACCCTGCTTCAAACTGTGTCTCGGCCCCTTCCGTGCTTTTTCAAATTGTCCCTGATCCTCAAGCAGTCCCAGCCCTCGTGTGGGGCCACATCCCCCTAGGGCTCCCTCCCTGTAGGCTCTTTGCTTCTCTACACCTTCCTGGCCCCAACTATTAGTGGCCCAGTTGAAGAGAGTTCAGTTTCCCTTCTGGGTGTATCAAAATCCAGGCCACTTCCCCATGGCTCCAGTTCATTCTTTGCCCTTATCTCAGGGCCTTGTCCTGCTTGAATCCCAGCAGCCAGCCTGGAACTCCTTTGCATCTCCCCCATCCCCACAGCACAGCACTCCTGTCTCCAGGCACCTAGGCATAGCGCCCTCAGCCAAGCACACTATCCACACTCCTCCAACTCTAGCAAGGAGTTGAACTCAGTCAGACTCTGCAACTCTTCTTATAATAGCCTGCTGGGCCCTGATTGGCTCCTTCCTATACAGCCGCTCTAGGCAGCTTGGAGGACCTCTCTACTGCACTTTTCTCAGGCAGAGTGGCAGGGCCATGAGGCCTCAAGACCTAGTCCATCCCATTACACCCCCTCAATGAGGTAACAGATTGCTGGTAACAGTCAGTCAAAGAGAAGCAAGCCAGATGCTCTACTTTACAATAGAGGTCAAGCCTTCTGAAAAGAGCACTTGTACAATGGTTTAAGGGCTCTATCTCAGAGCCCAGATAAAATTTAAGCTTTAGAATAATAGTCTCTAGGTTCCATCAGCAACTCCTTCTGCTGTAAGGCTTCAGGCTTCCCCCTGCTTGTTCAGGGTCTCTCCTAGACTTCCCTGCCTAGAGAGCTTTTGCCTAGTTTAGAATCTTTGGGAACCTCTTTTCTCCTCAGGAGCTTTTATAACTGAGCTCTGCTAAGATTTTTTTATTAGGCCCAGATGCTCCTTACTTATTTATTGCCTTCCAGCTATTTAGATTTCAGAGGAACAGCCGTGTTAGTCTGTATTCGCAAAAAGAAAAGGAGTACTTGTGGCACCTTAGAGACTAACCAATTTATTTGAGCATGAGCTTTCGTGAGCTACAGCTCACTTCATCAGATGTATACCGTGGAAACTGCAGCAGACTTTATATACACACAGAGAATATGAAACAATACCTCCTCCCACCCCACTGTCCTGCTGGTAATAGCTTATCTAAAGTGATCAACAGGTGGGCCATTTCCAGCACAAATCCAGGTTTTCTCACCCTCCACCCCCCCCACACAAATTCACTCTCCTGCTGGTGCTAGCCCATCCAAAGTGACAACTCTTTACATAATCAAGTCGGGCTATTTCCTGCATAGATCCAGGTTTTCTCACATCCCCCCCACCCCCATACACACACAAACTCACTCTCCTGCTGGTAATAGCTCATCTAAACTGACCACTCTCCAAGTTTAAATCCAAGTTAAACCAGAACATCTGGGGGGGGGGGGCCCAGATGTTCTGGTTTAACTTGGATTTAAACTTGGAGAGTGGTCAGTTTAGATGAGCTATTACCAGCAGGAGAGTGAGTTTGTGTGTGTATGGGGGTGGGGGGGATGTGAGAAAACCTGGATCTATGCAGGAAATAGCCCGACTTGATTATGTAAAGAGTTGTCACTTTGGATGGGCTAGCACCAGCAGGAGAGTGAATTTGTGTGGGGGGGTGGAGGGTGAGAAAACCTGGATTTGTGCTGGAAATGGCCCACCTGTTGATCACTTTAGATAAGCTATTACC